ATTATATGTTTTCTTATGTATATACATCACAAACATTAGTCAAAGTATAACAAATGAATATTACAAAAAGTGAAAATGGAACAAGTATTTAAAAACGGAGGAAGTATTAATTTTGTCTAGCATACTATAGTAAATACGTAGCGTATTTAAAAAGTCTGTTATTTAACAAAACTATATATTAAATTGAGTTAATGTGTCTTGTCGTCTTAAGAATGAAGATATTACTAGTAGTTTGAACTGATTCACTGTTTATTGAATTAAATGTCTATATGATAGTCCTTGCACATCAATTTTTATGTTTTTTTGTCCAAAATTGAAATGTTGAATATAATGGAAATTGATCCTTTATATTGCCATGACTTACTTTTGGTACATCCACCGACCAAATCAACACAATGATAGCCATCACAACACCAGTTAAAAGGATTGCAACTCTGGCCTTCACATCCCAACACTTTCCCTCCAAACATTACTTGCACTGCAAAAGTTTATGAATACAATTAACAATATAAGTGCAAAGAAATCTAAACATTCAAATTGATAGTTGAACATAAAAAAATGTCATGTACAATCAATTTTACGGACTATCTTGTATATAATACGAGCAAAATTATTTATATTTCATAATGCGCTTGTACTTGTGAGCAATATGAACAAAAACAAAGAAAAAAAAAACTCGCTGTGTCGTTTAGAGTATAACTTGTATGATAAATATCAAAATAATCATAAATGCATTAATGTTTAAATGAGGATTAAGAAGAAAAAAGAAATATGAGTATTAGAAATGGAAATTACGCTTTATGTAATTAGTTAATCAAAATCTTTTGTGTGCTCCGGGTGTATAATAATTTATTGTACATCAGCAATTCTCACACGTGTGCCACTAATAAATTCATTATCCCCAATACTCTGTAATATTACACTTGAAAAACGTAAAAAGTTAAGAAATCATCAAAATATAAACACTAATCACACTGATTTACACGTGTTTTTATCATGAATTCATAATTTTATACAATTTCCAAGAGTGTATTTAATGCTTATAGCATTACCCATTTGAAAAAAGCAAATGTGACTAACATTTTAGATTACCAAAAATGACATAAGCAAGTGACTATCAAAAGGGGACGGAAGGAGTATACTAATAGTTAAATTTGAACATTAACATATGTGCCAGTCAAAATATTACGACTTCTACAAAATGGAGGGAGTAACACATGCATCAGTAAAATGTTATAAATAATATGAAATGAAAGAAGCCACAGCAATAATTCGCCTCCCCAAGACCCCAACTATTTTGTCAAAAAAAAAAAAAAAAAAAAAAAAAAAAAAAAAAAAAAAACTCAACTATAATTTTTTTTACTACGTAATCATAAAGTCTTTCGGCAGGCTGTTTTATCTCCGGCTCTAGTCCTACATCTAATTCACGAGTGAATTTCGAGGAGCTCTTCAGCTCAAGAGTTTCGAAATCTTGTTCGCTATTCTATTAGGCACGCCTTCTCTAATACGAGAGAGAGACCGGTTACTTGTTGTCTTCGTGGTTCCCTTCCTTCTCTTTATGATGCCTGCCTTGTGTTTGATGGTGCGTGTAAAGTTCAGGACTATACGGATGGCGTGGGTTGGATTTTTCAACGACCAGATTCAGAGCAGGTTATGGGTGGGGGGGTCTAGGGCCTTCCTTTCTAGTTCAGCTCTCCATTCCGAGTTACAGCTTGCCTCTAGGCTCTTCGGGCAGTGAATCGACGTGGTTTTCGTCGTCTGTTGATTTACACTGATTGTTCGACCTTATTTTCTTTTCTTCGAGAAGGAACGGATCGAGACATTTCTAGCTTATGGCTGCTCCAGGATATTCGGACTGTTATTCAGGAATTTTCTGCATGCAAACTTCATAAGGTTCCGCGACAGTGGGTTGCTCCGGCTCACTAGTTAGCGATGAAGGCTCGTCGTCGTGATTTCCTTTTTTGGTCCTTTTAGTTTGTTTTTTGTTTTATTTATCTGTCTTTTCGTTGTTAGCTCTTCTTGTCAAAAAATAAAAATAAAATAAAAATAAAATAAAAAAATTCCCTGTTTCCTTTTACTTGACATGTTTTTTTTTAGTTATATTTGTAAATGCACAAATTCAATTATTAATATCTTTAATTATTGATATGCAAAAATTATAAAAAGTTGATATATTAAAAATATATATCGTGACAAATCTAATAAGATCTCACATAACTATATTTTTTTTACGTATAAAGCACAAACCACGGTTAAAGAGGATTGTGTGAATAGTGTTAAAGTCAAAACATGTTAACTTAAAAGGTAAAATATAATTGACTGATTCTACTGAACCGACACCACTCATACGTAAGTCAATGCAATCTAGCTCCGTAAGTCAATGATGTGAGTAGAGCTAGGAGGTAAGAAAACTCTCTGTTCCCAAGCAAATGTAGTTGATATGGCTCGAGCTCATGAACTCAAAGTCACAACGTAAATATTTGCAACTCCGCCAAGCTTTACTTAGTACGAAGTATGTATTAAAGCATAATAGTAAAGCTGGCGGAAGTTAATTACAAAAGTTACCATGCGTGTTAGTGTATATGAGTACTTCCTCTAATATTTATTTTTACTAATGCATAAAACACAAATGTTTTTATATAAAATGTTGTCGAATTAGGGTCTGTTCACATTTACTTAATTTCAATTCAGTTCAGTTCAACTCTAATCGGTTCAGTTCAGTTCAGCTCCTAATTTCCCTCTCTCATAAAACATTCAGTTCAGTTCAATTCAGCTCCAATCAATTCAGTAAATGTGAACAAGCCCTTAGTTTTAATATGTATACCATTTTATCACATTAATTTTTTTTAATCTAGTAATGTATAATTAATACTACCTTCGTTTTTATTTAAATGCCACCATTCGTTTTTCACGCTTGTTAATGCACTATTTTAACGATTAAAATCTCTAATTTCCGACGTTATAAAATTATAAAAAGTGAATATTAATAAAATAAAAGTATACATTGAGACGATTTTAAGAAGATCTCACTTACCCGTCAAAAAAAAAAAAAAAAGATCTCACTTAATTATATTTTATCATAACTATAAATCATAAAAGGTAGTCAAAGTGTAGTTTGTGAATAGTGTAAAAGTCAAATGGTTTATGTCAACTACAAAAAAAAAAAAAAAAAAAAAAAGAGGTAGTATTAGTAATCAAACTTGGGTATTACTCCCTGCGTTTCATAATAATTGCAACATTTTGACTTTTGCACTATTCATATGCCAATTTCGACTATATTTTCTTACCAATATATAAAAAAAAAACATGTGTTGCCATGTAAAATCGTTTTGGATGAGTCATTAAGTATATTGTCAATTAGAGGTGATCATTAGGCGGGCCGAGACGGGTTTGGACCGGGTCGAAGACGGAAAAATTGGCACATTCCTCAGGTCGGGCCGGGTCGGGCCAAATTCTGGGCCGGAATTTTTGTGCCCAAACCCGTCCAAAATGGGCGGGTCGTGTGGGCTTTTTGGGCCGAGCCAAAAAACTCAACTAAAAATGTGTAAAATCGCATTCCCAAACCCACCCAAAAAAAGGGGTCGGGCCGACTTCGGTCCAAAAAAATGCCCAAAACCCGCCCAAAATCGGGTCGGGCCAACCTTAATCAGGTCTATATTCAATATATAACTTTTTATACTTCTTAATACGTAGTAAAACATAATTACATACTCCCTCTGTCCTCTTTTGATAGTCACTTTTGGTAGAAAATCATGGAAATTAATAAACATAAATAAGAAGTATTAAAGGTACATTGAAAAAGTAAATTTACAATGGGTATGCAAAAAAGTAGAGAGAGAAAGTAATTAAAGTACATGTGAAAGTAAAATTTACATAAGAAAAATAAATTTGCACAAATATTTTTGCAAATGGGAGATAATTTTAGTAAAAAAAAATAATATTAATGGTATTTGAAAAGGAAAATGCTATACATAGCCCTTAGGGCTACATATAAGCATGAAATTTACACTTGAAAAACGTAAAAAGTTAAGAAATCATCAAAATATAAACACTAATTACACTGATTTACACGTGTTAATTCCTAATTTTATACTATTTCCAAGAGTGTATTTAATGCTTATAGAATTACCCATTTGAAAAAAGCAAATGTGACTAACATTTTAGATCACCAAAAATGACATAAGCAAGTGACTATCAAAAAGGGACGGAGGGAGTATATTAATAGTTAAATTTGAACATTAACATATGTGTTAGTCAAAATATTACGACTTTTACAAAATGGAGGGAGTAACACATGCATTAGTAAAATGTTATAAATAATATGAATTGAAAGAAGCCACAGCAATAAATCTCCTCCCAAGACCCCAACTATAAAGACCCCAACTATTTTGTCACAAAAAAAAAAAAAAAAAAAAGGACCCCAACTATAATTTTTTTTGGGTTATTTTATACAGTGCCCTTGGGGTATTGACTTTTCCAAGCTGTGCCCACCCATTTTCAAAATTCTACACTGTACCCTCAAGTTACCTTTAGCGTCTACGATGTAGCCCTATCTTAATCCCTCCCGTTAAATTTCCGTTAACTTCAAAATAAATAAATTAAAAAAAAAACAAAAAAAACCCAAACACCTCTCTCTCCTCCCTCACAACTACCCACCACCGCACCACCACCGCACCACTGCCGCACCACCAAGCCGTGCGCGCTCCTCTCTCCTCGACCCACCACCGCGCGTGTCACCCTCCTCTCTCCTCGACCCACCAGCCGCACCACCGCGCGCGACAACCCAAATTTCGTTCTTCATGCCCAAATTTTCGACCAATTGAACTATATTCGTGCAGATTTTTATTGGAAAAATCAATTAAAACAAGTTTTGTGTATTGAATATCAATCTAATTGAACCAAAATTGATGATTTAACAATTAAAATCAAATTGGGGAAAAAATTAGGGTTTTATATTATTTTAAACCAAATTCTTTGATTTCAAAACAAAAACAACAATTAACAACTTAATTTTGCAATTAGAATCCAATGAAATAAAAGCCCTAAACCAATTTGTCAAAATTTCACTTCGAATTCGAATTCCTCCATTGCCTTGTCCAATAGTTTCTTTGGTGGTGCACTAGGTGGTGACACGCGGTGGTGGGTCGAGGAGAGAGGAGCGCGGCTCGGTGGTGCGGCTGGGGGTGCGGCGGTGGTGCGGCTGGAGGTGCAGCGGTGGTGCGGCTGGAGGTGTAGTGGTGGCTGGTGGGTAGTTGTGAGGGAGGAGAGAGGTGTTTACAGTTTTTTTTTTTTTTTTTTTTTAAGTTAACGGAAAGTTAACTTAAGTTAACGGAAGGATTAGGGCAGGGTTACATCGTAGACACTAAAGATACTTTGGGGGTACAATATAGAATTTTGAAAATGGGTGGGCACAACTTAGAAAAGTCAATACCTCAGGGGCACTGTATAGAAAAATCCATTTTTTTTTTTTTACTACGTAAATAAAAATGACTTACCAAGGGAGGCATGAAAAAAAGTGGGCCAGCATTATCAGAAGGCCAGTGACCATCATGGGCTTGAATACTGGTAAAGAAGTTGATGGCCTTCTTCAGTGTTATGGTCACTGCTTCCTCTCCTATTACCTCTCTTTCCTTCAACTTCACTCCTTTAGCCATTTCTACATTTGCCTTTCCTTTTCTCAACTGTCCAAACATTTTGGTTTGAAATTTAATCAAAACAATCACATCACGTTATCTCGATTATATTCTTGACCCCGTCAAAAAATATAAACATATAATCTATACTTATATATTTTGGAAATTGATATAACGTATACGTACATATATAGTAGAATTTTTGGACGTAAAATAAATACAACTATTTTGTAAGTCAAATTCTTAAGTGTATATACCGAACGTTAACTCATAAACTAAGGGTTAGTAGTCTAAAGAAAGAAAAAAAATATTAAACAACTTTGAGCTATAGGTTAACTAAGAAAGTGTAAAAAAAAAAAAAAAAAAAAAAAAAAAATGACCTCCATTCTCATTAGAAGATCAGCACTTTGCCTCATGTTGAAACGGTTCTCCTTGAACTCCTTCCTTGCCCTCTCAACCTCGGCCCGTTCCTCGGTTGTTCCAGCCTCCGGATCAAACTCCCAGTGTTGTCGACCGGTGAAGTTGTTTAGACTCTCTAGCCATGGATCCTTGCCTTCTGCTATCTTCAACTTCCACATTATCACCAACTTTATTAACTAAGCGTACACTCTAATGAACTATTAAATACTCTTAATTCTTTCTCCTAGGAAAGAAAGTGAAATATAGATAGTGTAGTAATGAAGTTGGATTTAATTTGCTGAGTTTTTATAAGCTGAGATTATGGAAGCAAGGAGGTCGATGATGATAATGACTCTCTAACCAGCTCTTGCTATCCACTCCTTTAATTGGCCCATGCTAACTAAGAATGACTCGATGATAACCAGGTTAAATCCCTACAATGTACGGTTGTTAAATATTTTTACAATTATATTATAAAAACTGTATAGATATAATATATAATGACCCGATGAATCGATGATGATATCCATTTCTTTAATATTATTGGCCCATGCTAACAAAGAATGAGGCTTATAAATAATTTCATAATGAAAATATTAACTCCACATCCTCTCAACTTCCCGAATTGTAACTTCTCGCTTGTTACATGTACAACCAGACCTCACTAATAGTAAAAAGTTTGTAATTTTTTTGTTTTTTTTTTTTTTTTCCTTTTAAGAAAAGATGACGATATGTATGGGGGAGGCCCTTGATCTTTATGATCAACCAACTTTGTCAATCAAGTAGCCTTTTTGTAATTAAGAAGTACAGCGTTACAATGTCTAACTCATTTTTTTTTTTCCAAATCACATGTTCAGGAGCGTAGCCAAGAATTAAAAGCTAACTGGCTAAGGTTATTATATTTTCAAGGGCTAAAATACTTTCGTGCTAGCAGCTATTAAAAATTTTGTTGGGGATTTTCTAGTAAACAAGGGTCACAAAGAAATGGAAATGAAATTATTGGAAAAACCTTCAACGCGTGAACTGGATTACTTTCCCAAAAGTATAATTCCGACCCTATACTATAACCGGGTATCACGGAAATTACTCACGAGATACAACAAAGAACAATTACAATAATTTGTAGGATTTTTGAATTCAATGTATTAAAGTGTTTGTGATTTTGTGAAAAATGAACAACTGATAATAATTCTCTATGCAAAGGGATAAGATACAAATTATATTTCATCTCTCAACCTTCATCCATCATATAAGAAGTTTCTCATATATATATATATAAGATAGTAGTATGCCCTACATTTTCCAAATGTAGCAATGCATAAAGTTATGCATTAAATAATGTATTAAGATGTACATTAAATAATGCATTAAGACATGCATAATGTAACAATGCATTGACTTCCAAATGTTATCAAAAGATACTAAACTGAAACAATGCATTAATACATGTCTTAAACGATGTATTAAGACATGCATTAAACTATGCATTAGTAATCATATGTAACCTTCCTTCTAGCACTAGGTGCACTACTCTCCCCTAAATTTATGAGTTTTGTACCCTGTTTAGGCACTCCCCCTTTCTGACCAGCAGTCCATACACCCTTTCTAAATTGAGTATGTAGTCTTAGGAATTTTTCTACCAAATAGGTTAGGGTCAGTCACAATGTTTGAAGGTTGGTTGTTTGGGCTTGATCTAACAATGGAAGTGGTGTGTTTAGCTATCACTTGGGGTGGTGAAAACCTAAGATTCTTCTCACAAGTAGTGTTTTGAAGATAGTGTGTGGTGAAATTGGAGAAGGAGGTAATTTCTCACTCCCACTCCCCAACTGACTCCAACTGTTTGGACTTGCCCTTACCCTTCCCCCCACCAGAACCAGCCTCGCCCTTACCCTTCCCACTCCCAGAACCAGCCTTTCCCTTACCTTGAGCCTTTTCACAATATTTCTCAAACTCCTTCCTACCCTTAGTGTACTCTTTTCTAGATTGCTTACCCTGATTCTCTTCAATTTCATCCTGTATATCAAAGTAGTGTTTGGTTCATGATTAAATTCATTCCCAAAAATCTCAGTTAGTGGAGGGCTACTAGGAGTAACTAGGGATGTCAGTGAGGCGGGTCAAGTGGGAGACCCGCCCCATCCTGGGATAAAAACCATACCCGCCATGGATGATGGGGCGGGGTGGATTTTAAGTTGTACCCGCCCCACCCGCCCCATCCCCACCTCATACCCACGTCTATGTATCTTTAAAAGCAAAATTATATACTTTTATACTATTTTATAATATAATTACGTGAAATTAAATATTAATTATAATACTTTGTACTATACTTATTGATTAGGGGATTTCGCTCCCACCAATCGGAATGCGCCACGTGGGTCAATCAGGTCCTGCCAAGTGTCCCCCAGTTGGAACTGTCAGGGCTTGCCACGTGGCACGCGCTTATCCGTCCACCTTGGACCTATTATGTCATGACACGTGGCATACTCCATGCCTAATGGAGAAACCGGCCACCCAGGCCCAACTTCCGAGGGAAGCCCAATCAGCCCTAGGTTAACCTAAACCTAGGATTGACACGTTTCCCAAGGTTATAAATACCTTCCTTAATCCTCATTAAGGGGGGAGGACAGGAATTACATGCTGATTACGCTAAAAACTCACATTAAACACTCTCACCTAGAGAGACCCAATCACTTTAATTTCCGCATTAATTACTCCTTAATCAAGTACTAACTTGACCGTTGGAGGCGGAGCTCCCACCACCAGGAGTCTCCGTTGTTTTGCAGGTACAGGTGCAAGGATACCAGTCCCGGAATTGTAACTCTCCCGCAGGACATCAGAAAACCCCGAAACATTTGGCGCCGTCTGTGGGGAGAGTACTTCTGAGATGGCATCCAAGTCTGTACCGACTCCTGAAGAGAGGCGTCCCCTAGACGACCCTCAAGTTCAGTCGGACCACGATACTGAGAGTGAATTTGAAGTTGAAGCTCACACAGCTTCAGACGGGACCCTAAGGGCCCGACGTACCCGTCATACCGAAAGGAGGGAACGGGAACATCTTCAAACTGGAAGTGAGCCAGCAGGCGCACCGCCTGTTCGGCAGCAGCCGACTGATGGGTCTGCTCCCATCACAAGGAACGAACTCATGACCTTCATGAGGGACTTCAAGGGAGAAATTCAAGAGTTGATCAAAAAGAAGCCGCCTGCTCTGGACAAGGAGCAGTCGGCTAAGAAACCTTCCACTTCACTGAAGAGGAAGCCAGTTCAAGGGCGAGAGGCGACTCCTCATCCTAAATCTAGGAAGCGGGAGCCGACTGCCCTTGATTTCACAAAATACCGTTTTCCTACTCCAAGAAATAGGAAACCTGTTCGTCATATTCAGGCGGACGGGTCGAGGAAATCATACACAGACGCTCGGCTACTGCTAGAGCAGAAGAAGAGTGATCGATTGTCAGAGTCGGCCTCTACTTCAAACTTCCAAGACAGTCTGCGAAATACCTCAATGAGGCATACTCAGTCGCATCATGAGAGTCAGTCAGGCGGCACCTCCCGTCAGTTCGGCTTTCATAGCGACCAGGCGGTACCAAACTTACCGTTTGTACCGCAACAACAGTATTTTTTACAGCCACCTCCGTTTGGTGGACAAGCAGCAAAAAAATGTCCAACCTATGGACTGGCAGCTACGGTTGCTTAGACTTGGTGAACAGCCGTCGGCCTTCTCCAAGGAAATTACTGAAGCCGCTCAGCCGGCCAAAGTGAAAAATGTATTAGTAGGCGCCTATGACGGCACTACTAACCCAGAAGACCATCTGATGGCATTCACCAACCTGATGTACCTTCAAGGGTTGGATGATCCCACCTGGTGCAAGTGTTTCCCAGCGACTCTCAAAGGAATCGCACAACAATGGTTCGGCAACCTGCCGACTGGTTGTGTAAATAGCTTCAGGACGCTTGCTTACTTATTCACCTCCAACTTCGCCATGAACATCCCTGCGAAGAAGACGACCCTTGATTTAGGAACAATTCAGCAGGGCGAGAAGGAGGGGCTTCGTTCTTACATCAGGCGGTTTAACCTGATGAGAATACAGATTCAAGGGTTACCAGATGAAGTAGCCTATACTGACTTTTTCAGAGGTCTCAAAGACGGGTCGACCTTCAAATTTGATTTGGTCCGAAAGAGGGTGGCGACTCTTCAAGAGGCCTTGATTGAAGCGGAAGCCTATATACAGGCGACTGATCTTTGTACGGTAAAACAGTCGGACGGGAAAAAGTTTGACAAAAGAGAAGGACAGAAATAGTCGTCAAACAAAGACGAGAAAAGAAAAGAGGTCTGGGCGGCTAATTCCTCTAAAACAGCCGGCCCAGAAAAAGAAAAAAGAATTCAAACCATACTCCCCAAAGTATGCGTTTAACAAGGATAGCCAGTTTATCCTAAAGGAAATCAAGGGACGGATCTCAATTGAGAAGCCGGTCCCCATGAAGGGTTCTGCAAACAACCGGAACCAAGATAAATTCTGTGCTTATCATGAAGATGTTGGTCATCACACCAATGAATGCATCAGTCTCATGCGGTATCTGGACCGCTTGGCTGAACAAGGTGATCTTGACACTTATGTCAAGAAATCTACGGGGAACACTTCCTCGAAAAAGCAGTCGGCCAAAAAGAATCAACAGGCCGACAGTTCCGATACAGATGATGCAGTCGTCTACACCATTGCAGGCGGCTTCTCAGGAGGCGGCCCCACTATTAGGGGCAACAAAGACAATATCAGACGGTTAGATGTAAATTCCGTTCACCAAGAACGGCCCTCCAAATATTCATTTCCTGCGATTGTCATCACTGAAGAAGATCTAGGAGGGGTAAGAGGGCCGCATGACGACCCTATCGTTATTGAATGTAAAGTGGCCAACCAGAGAGTTGGCCGAATCCTCATAGATACCAGAAGCTCCTCAGATCTCATCAGTCGCAAATGTCTGTCGAAACTAAAATATCAGACTGATTGCATACATCCGGCCTCCCACCCTTTAGTAGGGTTTGGAGGAGGAGTCGTCCACCCAGTGGGACGAGTGGATTTACCCATTCGCCTGGGTGAGAAAGGGGAAGGACGACACATGGTAGTCCAGTTCCTGGTAGTAGAAGAACTCTCGGCCTACAACATGATTCTGGGACGACCAACCCTGAATAATTCCAAGGCTGTTATAATCCCATCTCTTATGTTGCTCAAGTTTGAGAGGGATAATGGAACAGTCGGGTCCCTAAGGAGAGATCAGAGGATGGCCCGAGAGTGCTATCTCTCGGATGTCAAGCCTACTGTTATGGCCACTATGTCGAGCGGTGGAAAAATAGACCTTGACAATGTCAAGGAGAGTGCGCCTGTTCAAGAGGCAGGCGGCAAGAAGAGAAAGGCATCCCAGACAGGGGCCGCAAGAAAAGACAGAAAATAGCAATCATTGGCAGAGGAGCGGTCGGATGAATTCCGCCCTCAGCCGGCTGGTGAGCATACGGACCTAATCTTAGATGACTCGCGTCCTGACAGAACAGTTAAAGTTGGGACGACTGCTCTAAAGGTCCTGGGTGACGATTTTCACAAACTATTGAA